CCATCTTTTGTTAACTAACAGCAGAACTCACATATTCAAAATTATTAACAGCAGAGCCTGCTACTGAACAGGTCCTGAGCTAGTTCATCTATCTGACATGACTTAATTTTACCTTCACATCACTTTATTTTTTCAAGTGGATATATTCCATCAGGTTTCCCCCAAACTTCTCTGTGCATGCTTTGTCTCTCATGTCTTAGCCACATACCCATCCACTGTAACCTCCAAGATTTCACTATGATAATAATAGATGAGCTGTTATACCACTTAATTTAATGTTTAAGTCATTGTAAGGGTCATTTGAATTTACTACTCTGTACTGTGTTAGGTGCAGCTACTCCATTTTTACTGTCTACTATACCAGGGGTTATCAGCACTTTACAATGTGCAGTTTTGATTTCATGAGACTTATGGATGTCAAGCAAAAGTGTAGTAATATTAAAACAGTATTATACAGTAAAAATACAAATAAAAATATCAGCAAGGAGATAAATACCTTTCTTCTTCATCACCTTCATCTTCCATTGCATCATCAATGGCATCATTCATCATTTCTTCTTTCATGTCCATTATCTCTGACTGTTTTTCAAATTCTTGGAGAATTCTTTGAATCTGAGGTAAGTTCAACTGCCTAATACAGGTCAAAACCAAAAACAAAAACCTCAGTTACAAACATTGAAAACTACATGAGGAGGAGTCCCATTATTTGTTCACCTGAACTAATACTGTTAGGCCGATAAGTTAAAAATGAAGAAATTGTCTCACAAAACCTGAAAGGTAAAGATAGTCTGGGAGATCTAGGTAGAGACAAGAGAATAATATGAAAAGGAATTTTGAAAGAATAGGGTGAAGGATGTGGATTAGATTCATCTGGTTCAAAGAAAGTGCACTCACAGTCTTTAGCATTCATAAAAGAGGAATATCTTGGCCAGATAAAGGATTTTGTTTCATTAACCTTTAGTTTGTAATGGAAACAAACATATGAAAATTTTAAAAGCTTTCCAGGAAATGGGGCTAATAGGATCTTATTTCAAAGTACTATTATTAAATGTAGTGGGGATGATCAATTAAATATTATGAAATCAAAATCACAGACCTTAAAAGTCAGTCATCACGAAACCCGTCAGACAACTTCTTGTTAACATTTACAAAATAATAGCATTAATTCATTTAAAATCATGTTACAAAGAAAACTGTCATAATACTAATTTATTTACCTGTTCATATTCTGCATAGCTTTTGTTACACCTTTCATTGCTTGTGCCATTGCATTTTGTGACCGGAGGGTCTGTATTTTAAGAGAAACTGCTTGAATATTGGCTTTCATAAGCATAAATTTCTTAACATATCGACGTGTTCTTACAAGGTCCTTGGCCATTATTTTTACAGCATCCTGGAAAAGTAAAGTGATATATGTTTAACTCCTGATAGAGATTCTGTAAGGTTTCATGTTTAAATAATATAACTGTAAATCAAAGGTTAAGTACAAGTGATATAATTTGTTTGTCATTTTATAATACTGACTTTAGCATACATAACTTTGTTACAAGTTTCAATCCCAATTCAGAATAAAATTACAAACCAAGGAGATAAAAATACCCTTGTTTTTGACCACTCTAAACAGGTACTCTATGTGACATGTTTGCCTTCTGTGAATAACTTCATATATGTATGTTTACAAACCATTTGTCCTTCTTTAGCCATTTTCTTTATATCTGTAATGATCTTCTTTTCTTGTTGTTCCATGCGTGCTCTTTCTCGATCCAAATCTCTCATAGCCTTGTTCAATGCACGCTGGTTTCTACGCAATAACTCCTCTGGTGTCAAACGTTTTCCAAAAAGCCATTCTAAAGGCATTTTACTGGAACAAAAATAAATTCAGAAACATGTTCTGAGCAAATTAGAACAGAAAATAATTGCTGTGCCCAACACAGTAGGGTATGCTTGTTAGCCTTGCATAAAAAATGTATTTATGTAAGGGTTAAAAACCTAAATCTTGATTAAATCAGATACACGAATAAATGTAATATACTAAACATTATAAAGTTTATTCTTCATCAAGTTGTGGTAAAGTACTGCTGTCAACTGTAATAAAAGGACATCACCATAAAAAACATTCACAATTGTTGTCATTCTTTAATGACTGCTCTTTTATATTACTTGCAAAACCTGACATAATATCTTAACATCACTGTTTCGTTTAAAATGGTAAATTGCAGAAATAAAATGTATTTTGGCTTTAGGAGATGTTTAAAACGCCATGGAAACTGCAATCACAGCATGTATACCAAGTACTAATAGTTCGTAATATGCAAAATTATCTTTAACTGGGTAGGTTAAAAAGCATTAATATAACCATTAGACAATACCTTATCAAAATAATTATTCGCTTTGTTGATTAATATCGTATGTCCTACTAATGATTCACACTTTCTGTTTTATGTTCTCTGTATTGCAACATAATAGGTTGTCTATGGTTTTGACGTAGGAAGTGTGCCTTTAGCACCTGTGTGTCATATTTTTCAACAGAACTACCACAGATAAAATGCTACTCTCTGCCTTTCTGCACAAATTGCTGTGTTGCATGGTGTTTTAATATTATAACTCGATTCTAGAACGCGTTCATAACATTGCTTCCGGTAAACAGCTTTAGCCTAAGTCCGGATTCCGGAACCGAAAGATTAGAGAAGACGCCTGGTAGAAAAAATATACACGTAAGATTTAATAATATTGGTATTCGTAAAGCTAGTAAATGAAATCTTTACATTTCATTACATCAGGTGACATTAGTAATAATATGTTGATGGCCTAATATCTCTCGCGTCAACATATGCTTGGTCCCTGAATTTCTGTTTCTAGTTTTTCCCAACATTTTGTTTGAAGTGTGTATATAATAGTAGTGTATTTGTGCCATTCGTAACGCTATAAGTTATTGCCGTGAAATGTTTTATGAGATACTTTTATGTTACATGGTTGTTTTAGGATGACCCAAATTTGACATGACCTTGTAGGTCAAAATGTGACATGTTTCTAATTCTTTTCACTTTCGTTTGGCAATTACTGGTTACCTGCTGATAAAAAGTATAGATTTGATCACAAATATTACTTTGTTAGGGTGACACGTGGGATTATTTACAAAGTCAACATATTTTGTTAAAAACATTAAACCTTTGGAGCTCTATGCTAGGCAGAAATTTATTATTTTGGAAGTTTGTGTGTTGTTGATAATTGTTATTATTATATGCAGAGAAATTAATAGTTTTTCTGTTATTGGGAGGCCTTAGATATTCCTCTCTTGAAAATCATAAAAACACAAATGGTGTTTGTATGAGTAATGCGTAGTTTCTGAGAACAGAACTTTTAACACATGTGAATAGTGTTGTTTTATGGAACAAATATTTGATCTGTTCCTAACTTATAAATTTTCCGTTGTAGTGAGGAATCAAAAGACTGCATGTAGAAAGGGAATGGGAATTTGTAGGTGGATTGTATGCTGTCATGTGTCATTATTAGTTTGTGTTAGTATTCTGAGGTTCATTTGTACTGTTCAAACTGGATCTTTTATTACAAATTCTTCATTGCCTGTTATTTGTATTTTTCCAGGCAGAACCTGAATTTAGAGATTAAAGCATGGATACACCCAGGAAAAATAATGACTGCTACTTCTATTACTATTCAACTTGCTTAAAGGTAACTATTAATTGACTGGGTCAGTTGGGAGAGTTGTGGTTTGATTTCATTAGTATTTTTTGACGTAAATACGTCTATATTTTAGGGTCAGTGTCATTCGGCAAAAAGTGAAAGGAAAAAGTGTAACTGCATTGTTATGTTACCTTGGAAACGTCAATTATTTACTAGGCATTATTGTTAAAAAGCAAACGTCAATTGTTTACTCAGCATTATTGTTACCTAGGAAACTTCATCTGTTTATCAACAAATCGACAATAATGGTTACCTAGGAAACGTCATCTGTTTACTCTGCATTGTTGTTGCCTATTAAACATTTTATTACATTACCTTACCTTACATTACATTACCTTACCTTACATTACATTACCTTACCTTACATTACATTACCTTACCTTACATTACATTACCTTACCTTACATTACATTACCTTACCTTACATTACATTACCTTACCTTACATTACATTACCTTACCTTACATTACATTACCTTACCTTACATTACATTACCTTACCTTACATTACATTACCTTACCTTACATTACATTACCTTACCTTACATTACATTACCCTACATTACCTTACATTACTTTACATTACATTCAGCTACCACAGACCCATCTTAAGCATAACTAATTCAAGTTGATTAAGCAATGTCTTAAACAAATTTATCTCAATTGTAAAGCATGTATAAAGGAAATATTTAGAATAAAGCCAATATATAAACTTCCTTTCCGTATAGACGTATTTACATCAAATTCTCCGGAACCGTGGTTCCACTGTCAACTTTCTATTTGGGATTTACAGATGTTGCCATATATTAAAACAATGGGCAAGAGCAAGATAGAAAATGGCTTGTTAACAGGGTATCTTTTTAAAATATGGTATTATATCCCCTTTTCTTTTGTGAATTTTGTTCTTCATCAAATGAAGTAAGGGTATAGAAAATATCATCAATTATATATAAGTTTATATTAGTGGTCTATTTACTCCATAATTTATGTATTTTCCTTTACAGTTGAGTTTGATAACAGTGATAGGCACATTTAAAAAGGTTTTGTTTCTAAACCACTAACAAAATACATTTAAAAGCTCATATTTTCACTGTAGTACTAAAAATGATTTGTAGTACCATTTTCAAATGGCTGTGTATGAACATTACACCAGTAATGGAATAATTCTAGATATACCATTGCTATGTTTATGTTAGTTTCAGGACTGTGAGCATAAAATACCATTTCTATTAAGTAATTTTCATATTTTGGTTTGTAGTGGGCATTAAAACAAGCATATAAAATAGTACATAATTAGTGAATTTAAATGTTACTGCTTAGTCCAAAGTATGCATGGTTTGTGCCAAAAATCTTTAACCTTTCAGCAGCCCAGTGGGATATGTATAAGTCCCATACATTCATTTTTAATAATATCTATATTCATAGAAGCACAAAGTTGGGTATATTTAAGGCCATTGTTCCTTTGTCATTTATTTTGGTATGTTATATTATTGGTTTACCTGTCCCATCCATCACATCTGATGAACGGTAAAACGTGTGAATATAGGCAATTCCAGACTTGCCATGATCTTGGGATTGTAGATTCCTCTGCCAACCATTTTCATCATCATCCTAATCATTGTTATCCTAACATTCTGTGTGGCAAAGGTGACATTGTATGTTCTCCATCAGGAATGCACCATTGCCAATGCAGGCAGAAATCAAAGTGGAATAGACTTTAACAGAAGTCATAATCTGTATTCAACATAGTTTCATTAAATTGTCTAAGAATCAGTTGTTATGAAGGCATGAATGTGTGTTATAGGGTGATGGTTGCATGTTCCGTCATGAGCCTTCGGCATTGGGTTGTGAAACAGTGTGCTCCTTCTGGCAGCAAGGGAAGTGTCTCAACCAACATTGCAACTTCCGACATATGGAGTTGAGAGTAAGCATTAAGTTTCAATTTTTTGCTGATTACTCACACAAATATTTTATTGAATGATATTTACAAGGCAAGAAGTGCATTAGTTACAATTTAATTTTTTTATATACTTAAATATTTATTAAATTAAAATGATAGTTACTGAAGTTTGCAAGAAAGATATTGAAATGTTACCTGCATGTTGGTGTACAATGTACCATTTCTGATCACTTGGTAGATGTACTTTTATATCTGCCTTTATGTTGATATTTTAAGTATGAATTTCCACTGATTTTTATTGTCATAGATCAGGTACTGGTTGTAGTTGTATGTTTTTCAGAATCAAAATATTACCTAAAATTTATTTTAAAAATGTTGGTTTCAATGTTTGCTTGTTGCAGAAAAATCGTAAGATGATTCCTTGTTACTGGGAGAACCAGCCTGGCGGTTGTCGGAAACCTCACTGCTCATTTCAGCATAAGAATCCCCGGGAACCACCTACAGTAGCTGACATGGAAAAAGCTAAAGAATGTTAGTGACTGTTAATTTGTCGAGTTGGAAATATGTTTTATGTTGTGTAGCTCTGAGTTATTCTGTGTATAATTTATTGTTTATTTTAATTTGCTGTTTGTTTGTGCATGAATCAGATTATTTTCCTGAACAAATGTAAATGGGTTAGCAGTATTTATAGTTGATGTACCAGTACATAATTTAAATATGTATGCTTTTGTGAACACGATAATGGGTGTTAAGATTTATAAAAGGCAGAGAATTTCTTGGCTAACTTAATGAGCATTAACTTCTCGATGACTCTGTTATAATATGAAGGTGATGACAAGTTAAAATCATACAAGGCATCTCAAGAGTAATCTTAGTTGTGGTGTGAATATAAAAGTTTATCAGGTTTATATTTCAGTATGTTGGAAAGTTTAACTAATGTATGCGTAAGACTTTAAATTGCTGATTAAAAAAACATAAAAGTTTTATGTGGGTGCAGTCTTGTGTGGTAATTGATGTCCAAATTCACATTGAATTTTTACATAAAAATTCCCAAGAGTGAAGGTACCTGAATGTATAGATGTTAATCCAGGTAATTTACATTCCTTTGACAAATCAATCCAGTGTTTCTCTTAGTCTGCATTCCAGCGTTCAGAATGAGAAAACCATGTAAAGTAAATTGTGCTAAGTGATGTTCTGTTTATTTGTTGCTTCAAGAATATTTGGAAGTAAAATAAGGTGTTAGATGTGAAGATGGTGAATTAAGTAAGATTTGAGGTTTTCACAGCGGTGAGTTTGAAGATTTCTGTCTTCTGGGTTGTTGGGCTTTGTAGTCTAGTAGATGTTTATCAATGTTTCAGAGGTCATACTGCCTCCATCATCAGGGTGATTCATGACCTCTGAAACGTTGGTAAACATCTAACAGACTACACAGCGCAACAACCCAGAAGACAGAAATCTTCATGGTGAATTAAATTTATTATACTGCGTTGTGTGCTGTAGAAATGTACATTGTGATTGTCTGTTTTGATTCTATAAATGAGCTAATACGTTTTGCCGTCTTCACAGGTGAAGGTGTAGGAGCCGGCAAACCACTGGAAAGATCTGATTGGCCTAGGCGAACAGGTATGCTTAAAATTACGGTTAGGGTAAGGGTACAGTCTTCTCTTTCTTTTTGTGTCTTGGGTAAATTATTAGTTACTCTTTTGATATGTAACCAATATATCAGAAATTTTCCTGCTTTTCAATGACATGGAGGATATTTGTATGCAGTGAAGATGTAATTACTGTGTGGAAAATGGAACTTGTACGGTATTTTAATATTGGTATTCATTACCATTGTATTATTATTTAGTATGTGCCACAGTTCTACCACCAGATACAACTGTTTACAGCATATTTAATTTGTATCTATGTTTGTTTCCTCATGCCAGCTGAGCTGGAGACAGCTGAAAATAGCAAAAGCTTGTAGGGAGGATAAATGCAATTTGTAATAAATACTTGAAGATGGCTGTCTTCTAGGATGTTGCACCATGAAGTCTGTTAGAATTGACTGATGTTTCAGAGGTGATTACTGCCTTCTCCATCATCTCCCTGATGGAAGCAGTAGTCACCTCCAAAATGTCAGTCAGTTTCTATCGGAGTACATGGTGCAACATCCTAGAAGACAGCCATCTTAATACTCTTCACCATGAGACTGTGGTGTGTCACCTAATAAATGACTGTGTTTAACGGTATTTTAGGATATCTGGAGTAAACAAATTAAACTAGAGCTTCCTTTTATTTATGAGGCCTGTTGTTTTGTTTTGGGCTTGTGGAATCACTTTTCAAGGTTTCTGTAAGTGTTTTTAAGTCGGTGATTGAAATGGACATACAAGAAATCCAGAAATAGTAGTTACAATGTACCCATTTAGAAGAAATTGTTTTGTCAAACAAGAACTTGCATAATAAAACTGGTGAACAGGAACAGTTAATGTGAATAATTTTTCTTAAAAAAAGAGCAACTACTATTGCATGATTTAAAACAAAACATGCTCATATATACAAGGAACAAATAAAGAAGTAAAAAAGAAATACGGAATCCCTCATACATATTGACTAATATTGTGGTATCTTACATGTAAGGAACATACTCATTTGAAGAAAGCTGTACTGAAAAGAGATGTGTGATATTGTGCAGTGAAGTTAGCAAAAAACATTCATCATTGCTGTTATTGTGGTTACTTGTAGTAATGGCTGAGAGTGTGCAGTATGAAGAGTGTGTAGGGAGCAGTGACAATGATACCGCACGTGTGGTTCCTCGTCGTGTAAGTCAGAGCAGTGAGACGAGCTATGGCAGTCCACCTGTCGATCCACTTGTCGTCAACTTTGAAGAAGGTATGCGCCTTTACTAGCCACATGAAACCTATTCCTACGTATATCTGTACGTAGCACAGTTCCATTCTTTACTGTCAACTGGCAAGAGCCATTGTGTTCGTCTCATCCATGATGCACTTGGTTCATTGAGGTGCCATTCAGTGTTGATAACTTATTTCACTTGTGAAATTTCAAAATTCTTAATTAATTTTCCAGATAATATGTAAACAGTATATTTGGGGATGTTAAGTGATGGAATTAGGGGACATTTTATGACTTGTGTTAGAGAGAAATACACCACTTTGGTGCTGCAGTAGATAAATTATTGGGGAACAAATTGAAAACGCAGTTTTGTTGGTCTGAGTAGGATCATATTATAATTTCAGTAGTAGTTCTCCAAATAAATGTTCAAAGTAAACATGGAAGATTTTCATCAGAGTTTAAGAAATCATACACAAGCATGTTTTGTGATTGGTGAGAAATGATGTGGACAGCATTTTTCTGTCTTCAGTTTTGTGCTGTTTTCTGCCCCTAAAGGGTAATCGTATGACATTTTTACATGGGCGTGCTCACAATGAGAGATGTTGAAGTTCTGGCATTGAATTACATGCAGTTACTTAATTTTTTTTTTAAGTTGAACCATGATAGGTGATGGTTTATTCTAAATATGCTAGTGCATTATGGTGTTTGCTAGTTACACCAATATCTTGCCAGTGAAATTAAAGAGACCATAATCCTAATTCAGTGCTGTCAGTATCAGGAACACTGGTTTTATTTCGATTTAGAAGGTTTTTGTGTTCCCATGCTTCAGTTTTTTTGTTTGTTTGATTGTTTTGTGTTGATAGCTTTTTGAGGCAAGAATTTTTGTAGTCTCATATTTTGTTCTGGTTTGTGCACAGCTAGCTGTGAGTAGCTGTTGCCCTACATTTTGAAGATATGAAGTAAAATGCATTTGTATTTTTTGTAACATCAAATGTTGACTTATTCAGATTGTAATTGCATTGTGGAAATGGCATTTTGTGCTGCTGACCTGTAGAAGTGGGAGATGAGATTGAAATATTTTTTCATTCTTTGATGCACACTTTAACATTTTCAAGTTTTCCACATTAACTTTGATATGTTATATGATTTCACGACCATTGCATTGGGATTTATGTCAGACTATTATCTGTTAGAATGAACTTATATCCCTTATAAGATAAATCTGAAGTCATTGTAATGAAATGCTTATAAAGCCTATGTAGTTATTCTCTGTTTGACCATTTCAGTTTTGTTCTCATCATTCATGTGTAGATTGAACCACTTGTCTGCTAGACTGTTGATGTTGTTTTGATGTTCAAGAACCTTGTCCAACATAACAAAATACTCAGTTTCAGGTTAACCTGAAAAATGCCATAATATAAATATACTTACCTGAGAATACCATGTTTCTGCATCCAACGACTAGGTCTAAGCTTTTTATTATTGACATTGCTTATGTACATTACGACCTTCTTGCCTTTGTCATGTGAAGATGTAGTGGAGCTCATTTTAATATGAGTATTAGGCTTTATGACAGATTTCTCATACAAATTTAACACAGTGAATAAATGAAAGTATTTATTTTATTTAAGTATGTCTTCGGAGACATGCACATCTCTAAACTCTACTGAAAGTAAGAAAATGGGTAGGATGAAATGAAAAGAAAAGCGCAGCAACACTGGTATTTCTGCTAGTAAAATTTGTACTAAGTTAACATTGTTTGAGGCATTGTGTAAATTTCATATGATATGTACTGATATGCGTCGTATGCACATGGCGTTGTTTGTAAATACAGTATTTGCATTTATAAAAAAAAGCGAATGTTAGATGGCTGATCTAGTTTTCTGGCTGAAATGATTTGTAATCTGGATTGCTGATAAATCAGTTTTCATGATATGAAGTTCTGCCAGTACTAGATAGTTTGGTTTTTGTGAAAAGCTGATTACTGAGAGAAGAAGATATAGTTACAATTTGTGTTGATTGTCATATTATCTTAATTGTAACCACATCACATGTTTACTTAACCGTAAGTTAAGAACCACTAGAATATGCTACTATTCTTAAGATGGGGTGGCTGTTCAGGAGTTGGTGCATAGTTAGATTTTTTACTGTAATTCGTTGATTTTTTCAAACTAGTAACAATTCAGTTCTTTTCATGTTCTGTTGTGTTAATGAACTTCCAGTTTATATTAAAATATGTTGATTTGTTCTAAGTAAACATGGGCGTGCTTAAGTAACTAACTCCATGGCAGCTATCTCATTTTGTATAATATGTTAAGTACCTAGATGGTGGACAACCAGAAAAAGTATTTCAGGTGAAGTAATGACTTGGTCTTCCAAGGTCTGTTAAACCTCTTAACTTATGTCAGCTGGTTGATAGGGTGACTAACTTATCTTTGTATGTATGTGTGTATATATATATGTATATATATAAATATATATATATAACATCCATCTCCCTCGTCGTACTGGCGGCTATCTTTGTGGGCCAGAAATTCCATAATTCTGCTCACATTTGTGTGTTTGTTGGTCCTTGAAATTCTGTGTGTTGCCTGAAAGTTATTATTTAATTATTATTTTTGTCACAGCTGTATTGTTAAGAAAACTTGTTTTGATATTATCTAATACCAAACATATTAAATTATATTGTATTCAGCTGAGGTACTTCCAGTGATTTACAGTGAGAACAGTGGATTGGGCGTTAGAGTGGTAATCGTTATGGAATAGTGTTGCCGATGAAGGTTTGTTATTGCTGCTGCTATTACTACTGCTTCTACTGCTGCTGCTGCTGTTGCCGATACTGCTACGTGAAGCAGTGTAGAAGGAAGTGTTTGTCACTCCTTGCTGTTTTGTTTTTATTTTTATTTCAAGAAAGGAATGGCACACCAAAATCCAGTAATGGGCATGAAAGAAAGCTACAAGAACATTTTGAAGTTAACTTACTGATAATTCATTGAAATATGATTGTAATTTGCATGTTCATGAAATATCAGTTGCTGTTGATGTATGGTGTTAATGTAAGATTATATGCATTGTATACTTTATGTTATTGCCTGATGTTAAAAGCAGTAATTGACTGAAATACACAAAAAATCATGTCTGGTACTGAGAGGAAACATCATGTTTGTCACTTCGCTATTACAATAGGCTAAACAGCAGGAGTATTTCTTGTGTTTTTGCATATTTATAAGCATACCACAAGTATGCAAAGAGGGTATTTACTCTCTTCTCATTTTTTGAGTCAGGACAGAATTATTTTTTGTATTGTGTCATTATCAGCATTGAATTAGGAAGACATGATGCAGCCTTCTTGTAATAGTCATCAGTGACACAATTTTTTAAAAAAATCTTATTCTGAAATTGTGTATAATAGCCAAATATTAATTATGTGGTTTTCTCCATTGTTATCTAGGAGTTCAGAAACAAGACGGTGATATACTTTTCCCCCTAAAGTACTTCAAAATTAGTTTGGAGAAGAATCATAAATCGTTAATATTTTGCAAAGAAAGTGGGCAAGGAACCAGTAAGTTATGCATTTATGTGTATTACAGGAAACACATTCCTTTCTAGTACTCAGTAAATTAATTTTTTATCCTGTGTTCCTGTTGTTTGTTCAATAAATGATTGACTGCTTAAGAATAAATTCACCATTTATAAATTCTAGGAACTTTTAAGTTTAGAATAGAATTTGCAAAGATGTGGATATTGGTGATAAGCTGTCAGAAGCAAAGAACATTAGTTAAAATATGGTCAATTCACTTGAATCTGGATAGGTTCACTGTAATTCACTGAAAGCTTTAGCTGCATATTGGGGCATGGACTCTGATACTCTGAAACTTCTCTTAACAAAGGAAAGTTTATTTAGAAACCATCCCTTTGTTACTTTGGACAGTTAAAAAGGCTTCTTGGAACATAGTCATCAATATGGCAGCTATTAATGTTAAATACAAAGATAATGAAGAAAATAGGTGGTAGGTTTCTTGTTTAAGTGTATTAGTTTACACGCCATATGTTAAGTCCTGTGTGTTGACGGTTGGGAAATGTTTAAGGTCAGGATACAGAATATTGGAAACTTATTGATTAACTGAAGTATAACCTTATTGGTTACTATTGATGTGTTTTAAGGCCATAAGAGGTGGATATGTCTTCGGTATATTTTTAAAGATTTAATTGTTTTGAAAGTCATCGTTGATTTATACATTCTTTTATATGTTATATATATATCTACATTTTATTTTATTTATTTTTGAGTGGAAGGAAGATCTGTCTGTAAGATCTCTGCATTGTGCGGGAACTACCATACATTTGAAACGTAACCGACAAATAAACAAACTTACCTCACCACAAATGTGTTGTATGCGTGTGTTTGCTGAGTTGCTGATCTGCAAGAATGCACTCCAAGAATATAGAAATTTAATTTATGAATATTAATTCTTAGTGAATTTAAACTATTTCCAAAGTAAAACTAATTGAGAAACAAAAATTAGAAGAGAACAGTTTGGTAAAATTTTATTTTTACTTACAGTTTTGACTAATCGCTTTCTTGTCTGCGCGTGTTCTTGCAGAGTCAGACAATGAAAGTGTCCCTACATCAACCCCCACTAAGAAGCTGCCACAGAAGACGAATATACATGTAAAAACATTGGAGGAGATCAGGCTGGAGCGTATTCAGGCTGAGTCAGCTGCTTTCTATGCCTACAACAGCACCCCTGTCGAACAGGAACCTGAGACAGCTGTTGGCTCCACCATTGTAGCTTCAAGTTGGGACAGCGATGGAGATAGTGATCTCCGAACCAAGTTTCTATCCAGGAAATCCTACCACAGTCTCAAAACTAATCTTGACTTCCGTGTTATGACTCTTGATGAAATAAGAAAAAACCGACAACAAGAAGAAGGCAATTATTCTGTCATGGAGAAGAAGACAGATATTGCAGTGAGTTCAAGCAGGGACATTCTAGATAGTGCTTTAAGTGTGAAGCAGTTTAGCAGTCCATTTGATGTAGCAAACAACAATACCACTTCAGATGCTAGGTTTCAGATTAGGCAGAAAATATCTACACCGGGTCACAGTTTTGAAGAAGAAGAAGGTGTATGTGTTGATGGGGGCACAGTTCTGTTTAATAGAATAGTGGGTTCAGAAAAGAATGATGTTGCTTTGACAGAGCCCATATCGCAAATTGAGGTAGGTGTAAGAGATGGATATGATGATACAAGAACAGGTGAAAATTTAATAGAGAATTATAAAAGCAGTATTGTAATTAAAACTCTTTCTCAGATCCGGGCAGAAAAGAATTCTCTAATTGAAAATACTTCCACTTGTATCCCAAAGAGGTCACATTCACCAATAGTGTTTGATTGTTTGTCTCAGAAACTTTCTTGTACAAATACAGAAAATGAAAAAGATTGTCTTAAAAGTGGAGGTGAGGGCATGAAAAGGAAACCTATGATTATAAGAAAGCATATATTGGAGTCTGGACCAAATTTAGATGAAAAAGAATCCTCAAGTCCACCCAAGAAATTGCGTAGGTTTGTAAGAAGAACCCTCCATGAGCAAGTCAGTGAATCTAAATCTGACAGTGAAGGTGCACCAAGAAAGCTGTTAAAATTGAGGAGGGATATAAATACTGCAGTTGCAGCTTCTGAGAGTTCCAGAGTTATTAGACTTACTTCTGATTTGTTAAAAAATTCTGAACTTTCTGTAGAAGTGCCTCCGAATATTAACAATACTGTATGTACAGATTTGTTGAAAGTTAATGGTATATTTTGTGTGGGGACTGAGGGATCTGATTGTGACCGGCTGAGACAGCCCCTTACAAATATTTCAGGGGACAATTTTAAACCTGATTCTATGTCTGTTACAAGATCTTTTGACTATGATGAAAATTCCAGCACACCATTTGATGTTAGTAGGTCTAATGTGTCCCGGAATTCAGGTGTTTCATTGCGAACCACAACAGACTCACCAACTACCTGTGTGCTTCCTGGCAAGTATTTTGACACTTCTGTTAATGAACTTGTTGGGGATAGGATAGATGTTACCCAGTCCTCAAAATTAGAGCCAAGTGAAAGATTAGAATTTAAATTGGCATACACAAAAAACTCAGATTACGTATTTGGTGCCAAAGGTAAACTTTGTTCTGTGAAACCTCTTTCGATATTACCAATTGAACAGGACGGTATGGATACTGATGAAGAGTTGTTGTTGGCTAGTGGCCAGGACAATTCTATGACACTGGATGCTGGGGAGGATATATTGCAGGATATAGATGATTTGCTTAATGATGATTAATAAAAAAATTAAATTTTTATGTAATGCACAGAAACCAAAAGGCCATGATTTGTTTTCTAGCAGTTGGCTGTGTGGACTGTTTAAAACTGCATGACAAAAATTATTTTCAAGGTATTGATCTTAGCATGGATATGAGATGTGCCCTGTGTAGGTCATTGATGACTTTGAAAAATTGTTATTTGTCAGGATTTAAATCGGTACAGATAGAGACTACCATGTGGCATTAGCAATATATAATTGACATTTTTTATTTTCTACTTTTCTAACATGTTGACTGTGAATAATGTTTTTATAAACTGTTGTCTTGAAAAGTGTGCAAATCAAAGAATTTCGTTCATAACAGCTAATAACATTTGTCTCTTCAGGTAAAGAATAATGTCAGCCTCAGTTGTCCTGTTCCTTTGATTGAAAATTATGTTTGAGATATGAATTTACTGTGTTGGAAAGTGAAGGAGTGATATGTAAATATGTACAGAAAGATGAGAAAATTATTTTGATGAATTTTGTTGTGTAAATAGTACTTTATGAAGTGATTATTATGTGATGTATGTGATGTGCTTTATTTTGGATTGTATATATTCTTAGAAATGCACCTGTCTGGATTACGTCATTTGTAAATTTCCTGGATATTTGAAAAGCGCTGATAAGTTATGGTGGAAATAATTCTTAAAATCAAGATTTAATTGATTTTAAAGTTTAAAATTGTTGTACTATGATTAATAGGAAGCAATATAATGGTTTTGAAGTTTGAAATTGGACTGACATATACAACTTGTTTTGTGGGATAATGTTGACAATTTTTCTGTTCTACAAACATTGCATTTGCCATCTTCAGAGTGAATGGTATATTTTGACAGGGAGAAGAACATAATTGTTTATCAATATTTAGGTATTGAAACTGTTGTACCTGTGAAGTATCCATTCCTTCATGGAGCTCTGTTTTCTGTGTTAGTGAGATTCTTCATGCACACCAATAAATACTGTTATATTTAGGATTTTTTTATGTTTATTGTTTTATCTTATGTTTTTAAATAGTTTGATATGCTGAACCATTGAAAGCTGAAATAGTTCAGTCAGTAAAGTGATTAGCTATGAGCTAAATGATCAATATTTGGTTTGTGGTATAGGGCAGAAATTTTTATATTTGCTACAATATCCAGAGTATGTCAGGACCCACCCAACATGTTATACAGTGGGTACCAGGGTTTATTCTTGGGTAAAGTGGTTCTTATGCACAGGTGCAGTTTTGATTGTGCATTTACCT